AAAGCTCTTAGCCCTCTGAAAGGCCTGCCACAGCATATAAACCACTCTTGAAGGCCAGAAGACCGCTGATCTCTGGAGGATGCATCATGCTGGACAGGCTGCAGAACAACCGTGCACCAAGCCCAGAACTCTGTACAGCGGCAAACACTGGCTCTGAGCCCATCTCCCAGGTTTAAAATGACCTTCACAAGTCCAGCGAGGACTTTCTTGGGCCCAGGGTGGTGGACAAGCACAGTACCTAGGGGACGATGCCAGGGGAGGGATCCCCAGCAAACACGTGCAACCTTTGCTGAACAAGGGACGAGACTGAGCCCAGCACAGGAACACTGCCTGAGGTTTCCTCCTTCAGTTGGCCTCAGCACCAATGCATATCGAATGCCAAACCCCTTGAAGTGGACCATCACCCAGCCGCATCTTTGGATGAAATTAGTTTTGAGACCTCTCAGTGAAGGGTCTAGGACACGAGAGGGGCAGGCTCCCTTCCATGCTCCAAGGGGTCTGTGCCATTTGTCCTGCCATGCTGAAAGTAGGTTGCACAAGTGAAACCTGCTCTTCTTTCCTGAAAGTTCTCTTTTTTTGTTTGTTTTTTTGTTTGGTTGTTGTTGTTGTTGTTGTTTGTTTTGTTTTTGTTTTTGTTTGTTTTTTTCTGTAAACAAGACAACACTTGAGCTCTGATCTCTGCTGGGATGAAGCATTTAACTTCTTCAAATCTTGCCAGCTTTACAGTCTGAAGGTTGGGGGTGGCTTGGGGGAAAAACGAGAACAAGAAATCTCTTCAGCTGTGAAGTTTTTGTTATTGTTATTTTCCTTTGTAAGATGAACGTGATTTTCTGTAACCTGAAACTGTTGGATTTTTCTCTTTCCCCACAAAGTATTTTACATTTGTTATTGACATTGCATAGGAGACAGTGTACCTTTGTGTGAACAGCTTAGCTTCTCAGGATGCTGGGACCTCTGTGGTAAGGCTGCCCTCCGCCCTTCTCCTACAGGAAAAGCAAAAAAGGTGTCATTTACTTCCACTGATGAAAAGATGAGTGTTACCAGCTGAATTCAGTTCATTACTCCATATACCTCGTATTCCACATGCTCATATTGGAACCATCAAATGCTGAGAAAAAATCTTCCTAAAAATGCTTTGCAATGGGATCATTTCTCTGGCAAAGATGTCTTTACGGCACTTACACAATCACTTTTTGGTGACGTACGACACTGAAAACACATCTGGGATACTTCCCATTCAGCCTGGACATTCTTGTATTAAAGGCATGCGGATGTACTTTTAGTTCTGATTAACACAGATGGGAATGTCCATTCACATTAAAACCAATAAAAGGGATCCCAGTTCTGTAGGAGGGAATGTGGTTATGAAACCTCACTGGAGAGTAGGTGCTGTGTTTTGGTTTTCAGTGTTTACCAGTTCTGCCCTTTATGATATTTCTCTGAGCTGTTGACTGAGAAAAGGGAAGGTTGTTTTTTGTTTGTTTGTTTTTACTAAATGTTCAAAATAATAATGTTTGACTGCATTTCTGCAGCGGTGGCTCTGCCATTCGGAAAAAGTTGGTGATGTCAGTGGGTCTACAGAAGAAATCTAGCAGCGTTATATTTGAACAGCCTTCCCTTTGAGCACAAAGGATTTCTACCACAAGTGCTGATTAGTGAAATTAATTTCCTCTACATAGCACATACGCTGCAAAATTTCACTTGTCTTTTCTGCTTTTTTCCTCATGGTTTTGTGTGAAAGCAAGGGAAAAATGTGGTGTGTGTGATGCTCTCATATCTTCCTCTTTTCCACAGTAATTGCTTTTAGCAGAATTTAAAGGCCCTTTCTTATTAAATCCAAGCTTCCCTTTTCAGGCTGCAATACCTCTACCCGTTTAAACCTGTTTCTGGAGCACATATATGTGAAATGCTGAAGGCCTATTGAAGTGCACCAGAGAGCTTGTTCCTGTGGGGATTTTGCTGTGAATTAGTGGGCTTTGTAGTATCCGCTACAGTGCTCACATAAAGGAATCTCTTCTGAACTCTGACTTCAATATGTATGAGTCCTTCAACTTTGTTAGCATCCTAAGGATGCATAATACCGCCTCCCTTGAAGATGGCTTCCAAGAATCAAGGATATGTGCTTAGGGAAGCTTTAAGTGATGGAAAAATTATGACTTCTGCCTCTGATCAAAGCAGAACAAAGCACTTGACCACTATGCTCTCTCTGTTATTGCGGTGTCCTTGCAATCGGGGAGTTCTCTGAAGGAGAAGATACCAAGAGCCATAATACCTAGAAAAAGAGAAAGAGCTCTGACCGAGAATAGCACCCGTGAGTTCAGCTGTCTATCTAAAATCTAGGCAGTCTTAATGAAGCCATTAGCTGCTCTGGGTTTCTCTGTGAGGAAGAAGGGGTATGATGCCTCCTCGCTACAGACTGGCAGGTGATGAGCTCAATCGCTTTCCCTGGGACTGCTCATCTCAGAGCAGGGTTAAACCCTGAGCAAAAAATGCAGAGGTGGATGTAACAGGCTGGAGTTTCAGTCTAGTTGTAACATACTAATGGTAGAAATATTGAAAAAAAAAAAAAAAAAAAGCTTGAAAGTGAGATGATAAACTGTACAGCTGTAACAGGGTTGCCAGTAACTCCATAATGATGCAGGGTACATGGTTAGACTAGAAGAAAGCACATGGGCCCATCTGACTTGCAGAGAGGCAGTCCCTGCCTGAGAGCTAGGACTGTGACTTGGGGAAACAATGTGTGAATGGCTATATTAATGATATTTTTTTCTTCTCTGAGTACTGTGAAAACACTTGGTCCTCATGTCATCTGCATTTGCAAACCCTGCTGGTGGTCCTGTTAGAAAATACATGGATAGAGTACAAATGTACAAGATTTAAATCAGAGCCCAAATCACAAAACACGTGCACTAGACACCCTGCAATGAAGAAACACAGAGTTCCAGTCTAACTCAACAGGAAAATCCTCTCTCCCGTTTCATCATATAGAAAGATTTTTTCTCTACAGAAAAGTTGCAACCTGTTCTGGTTCTGGTGTTTGATTTCTCTATGGAATACCAGCTGGTTAATTATGTCAAAATAAAACTCTGATTTTTATTACGATCCAATAAGCCCAATTCACTTCTACATCAGTCCATCTAATCCATCGAATTCAAGGAAGAAACACTGGAGCAACAGAGTGGCAAATCATTTCTGATAAAAGGGATGAATTTGCTTTAAATCAAAGTAAAGCCAGAAGTCTGCATTTAAATAAAAGATTTTAACCTTCGTTTGCATTTGCGCTTTATTTTTTTCCCCTGAAGAAAATAATGTTTTCATTGGTGTGTAGCCCTCTCACTGTGATTATTACAGCTAAATATAACCCCTTACACTACACTGGGGTTTGTTTTATTTTGCAGGAGGGTATGCAATATCTGTACAAATCTACATCACTTAGCACACGCTTCCTCCCTCAGGCTCTTATTTTCTGAGCGGTTTGCTTTTCTGCTTAGGATTTGCTTCAGACTGGTTCTGTTTGGCTGCTGGGGTTTGTGAGGGCTCTGCCCTTCCAGGCTTTAAAGCAAGGGCGAGTGGAGCCAGGGCGAGCCGGGGGGTGGGAGGAAGGAGCTGGCGGTGGGTGCCATGGGCAAGTGGTGGGTGCCGTGGGCGAGTGGTGGTGCCATGGGCAAGCAGTGGGTGCCATGGATGAGCGGTGGGTGCCTCCTGGGGGAGGAGGACCCGGCGCTAGGAAGACAAGGGCTCCCTCCATCTCTCCCACCAGGGCTGATGGATGCTCTCCGGAGCCCCTTTGGTCCTGGTGGCGTGGCCGGTGGCTGCTCAGCCGTGAAGGCCAACGCGTACAGCTGAAGCAGTCTGTCTTAAATTTTCTTTGTGTAACTGGACTTGATGGATTACATCCAGCTGGGCCTGAAATTATGTTGTGGGTTGTTTTATTTTTTTTTAATTTCAAATATGATTTTATAGGATTGCTCCCACAGTAGCGTCAGGTGCTTAGCTTTGTCGTGTTTTAGATGCCAATTTGAGAAGCCCCACCAGTGCCGGCGCTGCCCGACACTGCTGCTTAGTGCCCTCCAGTCACTGGCATGCAGGGCCCCTTCAGCCTGACACCCTCCTGTCCCCTTGCTGGAGGCTGTTATGGTTTGAGAGACCCATAACAATTTACTGTCATTTAGACAATCATTCTATCACCCGATGACCCCTCCCCACCTGCGAAAGGGAATCGGGAAAAACAAGGAAACCCGGGAGCTGAAGTATAAACGGATTTAATAGAGTAAGATTAGATAATTAACATTAACAGCACTAAAGAACCAATATTGATCCCAACACCAATACAGAATATGCAAAGATTATACTCAGCCAGTTATATCGGTAGGCAGCTGTGCACTCCCAGCAGTGGACAGCAAATGTGGGACACTAGGAGAGCTATGGCTTTGGGAGGAAGGGAAGGGCTCAGGGGTCCGGCACCAGGGCACGAAGTTCTCAGGATGGCAGCCATCAAGGGAGAGAGAGAACTTCGCAGCAAACTTTCTAATTTATAGTGAAAGTGACATTGATGGTACAAAATAACCCTGTTGGCCAGCTTGGGTCAAGTGCCCAGGTCTCGCTCTTCCTCATCCCCGCACCTGGCTAGCTCGAAACACTGACACCTTGAGACCCACACACCATAGCTGGCTGTAAAGTAAATATTTTCACAAATTCAGACAC